TTACTAAACTTCTGAATGTCTGAATTTATCCAAAGTTATGTTTTTTGCTCCCAAGTGCATTTTTTTGTCAAAATATCCTGAAAACTCTTTTGAGATTTTAAAACATGGAAATAACTTATAAACTTTTAAAACTAAATGAAAACACCTGCATAAGATATTAAAAGTGATCCATAAAAGTGGTCAAAATCAGGTGCTCACCATTGAATATTTGTTGTCTTTTGCTTCAGATAATTTCGGCCAGCCTAGACTTTTTTAGGCTTTTTGTTTTTCCCTTCCTTTCATTTTTTCAATTTTTTTTTTTGTTTGTAAAGGAAAATGCCACCATGTTCCTCCTCTCTCTCTGGCGTTTTTTCACATATCTGTCGATATAAACTAAAAAGAGAATGCATGAAGTTTGAGCATAAAAGTTTGGGTAAAGGGTTTGGTACCAGCTAAAGATGAACTGGCCATCTAGGACAACAAAGAGTGGTAACAATAAGGTGAAGATGTCCTAAATGTGTATCATGATGCCTGCTAAAACCAATGATGAGAAAATAAGATGTCAAGATTATGTTCAAGTGAAATGAGCTAGTATATCCTGGCAGAAAAGATCTCCATGAATAGAAATCCTCTGGTGGGAGTTCGTAGTGCAAGTACTCTAGCTACCGCCTAGTCTAGTACAAACCACAAAGAACTAGCATGGAAAATCTAGAAGCACATGATTTTGTTCCGGCGTTCCTGTTTTGAAAACCGTTTTCAAAACTTTTTATGAAACACAAACTCAAGACAAACCAAATTTCATTAGTAAACGATGAACATCCTCCCCCAGACATAAATCACACTGCCCCCAGTGTGAGAAATCCTTGAGAGGATGGGATAATGATGGACTGAAATTTGGGATGTTTAAGTGTATTTACCTGGTGATGTTTTGCAATTCTTGGTGTGCTTTCTGGTTCGTGATTTCTGTTCAGCTCTTATTTGTTCTTCGCTTAGAAACCTGAAATTATAGAAAACAAAAACAAAGCAGCAAAAATAGAAAAAGGCAAATCAGAGGGAATAAGTAAAATACCAAGTGGGTTGCCTCCCACTAAGCGCTTGCTTAAAGTAATTAGCTTGACTTTGATGATAATTTAGCCTACCGGGTCTGCCAAGAGCATTGCTTCTCTTCCTACTTCTTCTGCGAGGTATGGTTTTACACGCTGTTCGTTAACGACAAATGTATCTCCTTTCTTAGCCTAAAGAATGAGTGCTCCATACGGTTTGACTTCCTTTACTGTGAAAGGTCCAGACCATCTAGATCGTAGCTTTCTTGGAAATAGCTTAAGGCGAGAACTGAAAAGAAGAACCCTGTCATTTGGAGCAAAGAACCGATGTATGATCCTTCTATCATGATATGCCTTCGTCTTCTCCTTGTATATCTTGGAATTTTCGTAGGCATCATGGCGGATTTCTTCTAATTCGTGCATTTAAAGCATTCTTCTTTCTCCAGCTGCCTTAAAGTCCATGTTCATCTCCTTAATAGCCCATTGTGCTCTGTACTCAAGCTCCACAGGAAGGTGACAAGCTTTTCCATAAACAAGATTGAACGGCGTGGTCCCTAAAGGAGTTCTGTATGCTGTCCGATAGACCCAAAGTGCATTGTCGAGTTTTTCAGATCAATCCTTGCGATTTACGCCAGTTGTCTTTTGTAAAATCGATTTGATCTCTCTGTTAGAGATTTCCACTTGTTCACTTGTCTGAGGGTGATATGGAGATGCAACTTTATGGGTAAATCCATTCTTTTTTAGCAGATTTTCGAAGACTTTGTTGATGAAATGGGATCCTCCATCGCTTATCAAAATTTTAGGAATTCTAAAGCGAGGGAAAATGATTGATTTAAACAGCTTTATAACCACTTTTGCATCATTAGTATGGCTGGCGATTGCTTCTACCCATTTGGAGACATAGTCTACCGCTACTAAAATGTATTGGTTTCCGAAAGAAGTTAGGAAATGTCCCATGAAATCAATTCCCCATATATCAAAGATTTCGACTTCAAGAATGAAGTTTTGAGGCATCTCATTCCTCTTACTGATGTTGCTCATTCGTTAGCATGAATCACAGCGTGAGATATAGGCGTGAGTGTCTTTGAACATAGTAGGCCACCAAAATCCTGCTTGAAGAACCTTTGAAACCATTTTGTAGGTTGCGAAATGTCCTGCATATGCTGAACTATGACATCCAAACAGTATTCCTTCCATTTATTCTTCAGCCACACACCTTCTTAATAAACCATCTACACATCTCCTATAGAGAAAAGGTTCATCCCAGAAATAATGCCGAATTTCCTTTAAAAATTTCTTCTTTTTATAGCCAAAGAATTGTGGAGGTTCGATGTCTGCAGCTAAGTAATTTGCTATATGCCTAAACCATGGGGTGTCAAAAGCATCTGACCGCCGTATAGGAGGTTAGGATGGCTTTTCTTGCACGGTAATAGGTATAGTCTCCATAGCGTAAACAATTTCTTCTGGCAAACTATTATTCAAAGGGAGTTTCTCTTCCACTCGAATCCTAGAAAGATGATCTGCTACTCCATTATCTGCTCCTTTCCGATCTCGAATTTCAATATCAAACTCTTGCAGCAGGAGTATCCATCTGATCAGCCTTGGTTTGGCACCTTTCTTAGACATGAGGTACTTGATTGCAGCATGTTCAGTATGGACAATGACCTTAGATCCTACGAGATAAGATCAAAACCTCTCAAATGCAAAAACGACGGCTAAAAGCTCCTTGTTTGTAGTCACGTAATTACATTGAGCTTCATCCAAAGTTCTACTCGCATAGTAGATTGCGTGTAGTCTCTTTTCTTTCCGCTGACCAAGCACAACACCAACAGCAATATCACTTGCATCACGCATGATTTTAAATGGTTATTCCCAGTCATGTGGTTGCACAACTGGAGCGGAAACAAGGGCGTTTTTGATTTTATGAAATGCTGCCAAGCACTCATCGTCGAATTCAAAGTTTGTTTCCTTGCAGAGCAGACGTGTGAGAGGTCTAGCAATTTCTAAGAAGCCTTTTATGAATCGCCTATAGAATCCGGCATGCCCCAGGAAACTCTGGATTTCCTTCACATTAGTTGGAGGTTGTAGGCTAGTCATGACTTCAATCTTTGCTTTGTCAACTTCAATACCTTTCCCAGATATTTTATGTCCAAGCACAATCCCCTCGCGGACCATGAAGTGACTTTTTCCCAGTTAAGGACAAGATGCTTATCTTCACAGTGCTGCAAAACATTTCCTAAGTTTGCCAAGCATTTGTCGAAAGAGGATCCATAGACGGAAAAATCATCCATGAAGACTTCCATGAAATCTTCGATGAAATCAGTGAAAATAGACATCATGCACCGCTGAAAGGTTGCATGTGCGTTACACAATCCGAAAGGCATTCGCCGATAGGCAAAAGTCCCGTATGGACAGGTGAATGTCGTCTTTTCTTGATCTTCCAGTCTAATTGGAATTTGGAAAAATCCGGAATAACCATCTAGAAAGCAGTAATATTCATGATTTGCCAATCTTTCTAGCATTTGATCAATGAAGGGTAAATGAAAATGATCTTTCCGAGTTGCTGCGTTCAGTTTTCGGTAATCGATGCACATTCGATGCCAGTCACTGTTCTTGTAGCGAACATTTCATCTTTGTCACTTTTGATAACATTTACTCCTCCCTTCTCTGGGACAACATGCACAGGACTAACCTAAGTGCTGTCTGAGCTAGGGAATATGATTCCTGCTTCCAAAAGTTTGATGATCTCCTTCTTTACTACATCCATAAGGTTTGGATTCAACCTCCTTTGGCTTTCAATCGAGTTCTTGGCATTGTCCTTAAAATTTATCTTATGCATACAGAGGTCAGGGGAGATTCCTTGTATGTCATCAAGAGAATAGCCTATGGCTTTCCTGTACTTCCTTAACTCATTTAACAGCTTAGTAGTTTCAGCTATGCTTAAGCAAGAATTTATGATGACAAGGTAAGTCGAGTTTGGCCCAAGGAAAGCATACTTGAGTCCATCAGGAAGAGGCTTAAGTTTGACTTTTAGAGCTTTGAGCTCGCTCCACGGATCGTTTATAGCTGCCAAGGTATCTTTTGGAGGAGTAGGGATGTGAGTTTCCTCATTCAGGTCCAGATAGTTCACAAGTTTCGCATAATCCTCGGCTTTATCAAACATTTGCGCACACCCTTTCGAAAGTTCTTCGAGCAGATTGCGATCATCATTTGTGGTGGTGAGGATGATTTTTAAAGGGTCGTCAAGAAGGATTTCTTCATAAACTTCCTCAGCAATTGCATCAAGCTCATCAACCCGACAAAGTCCGCCATCTAAGGTGGGTTTCTCAAGACTTTTGTTCATATCGAACTGCATAATCAGACTCCCTAGATGGAGGTCTATATTTCCGTCCGGAACGTTGATTATTGCTTCTGCAGTTGATAGGAAAGGTGATGTGATCCTGGTAAAGGATCTGCCCTTGATTGTCACTCTAATGACTGGAACTTGATGAGATAGACCTTGGAAACAATCGGAGATTGTACAAGGGGTTTTGGGAATCGATAGGACACACACAAGAGTCGCGGAACACTCTTGATACGCCTACTTGAATCTTCTAAGTGATATAACACACACAAAGTCGATTCAAGGTGTTTGAAGGATATGACACACCAACAAACGTGATCTTATTCTTTAAGAAAGAGTTTGAGAATAAAAGATAAGATGGTTTGATACAAAGGAGTTCAAGCGAATATAAAGAAGAAAGAAAGAAGAGATGAGTCTCACAACATTAACTCAATCTCGGAAATAAACAAAGAACAAGCTGTCAAGTTTGAATTCGATTTAGACGCTCCTCTTGATGAAACAGCTTGGGCTTAGGCTTTGTGGACTTAGGCGAAATAGAGATCCATTCTTGCCTCATTAAAAACCTATCTCAAGAAAACCCAATGGGACAAAACTTGAGATAGGGAAAAAGAGTACAAGCCTGGATCTCAAGCCACTTAGCCATCTTGGACTTGGATCACAATCAGGGTGCTTGTGATCGGCTCTTTTCCCTCTTGAACCGAATCAAGGCCTTTGATGATAGCTCCAATGATTTGCTTGAGCTTCTTAGTCCTTGATCGAGTCATTGGACCACTTGGAACGCTTAAAAGATCTTCTTGATCAGCTACAAGCTCTTGTTCCTCAGCTACCTGCTCTCCATCTTCTAGTTCCAACTCCAAGTCTTTATTGTTGCTTTCCAGAATCACATCAAAAGGTCTACCGAGTATCAGAGGATCCTTTGGTTCTCTTTCTAATTCAAGCACTACAAAATCAGTCGGAATACAGTTTTCTCCAATGACTGATACATCAACCAAGACTCCTTCTGGTCGTCTGACTGATCGATCAGCAAGAATCAGCGAGATTTTTGTGGGCTGGAAAGTATAATATCCTAAGCGTTTTGCAACTGAGAGAGGCATCATGTTGATGCTCGATCCCAAATCACATAGACAGCGTTCAGAAGTCATATTCTTGATTGTGCAAGAGAGTACAAAACTTCCTGATCTTCTTTCTTCTAGGGGACATGGTTTTGTAAGATGGAACTACATTCATGAGTTATCATCATAACGCCTTCTTCTAATGCTTGAGAATTTGTTAGAATGTCCTCCATGTATTTCCTAAGAGCAGGTATCATTGCACAAGCTTCAATGAAAGGTAATCTCACATTTAACTGCTCGATTATCTCTTTTAGCTTAGCCCTTTCTTTCTCCTTCTTTGGTCCTTTCAAAGCTCGTGGGTATGGTGGTTTGGGCTTGTAGACACGGGTAAGAGGTGGCGGTATAGGCTCTTATTCAGAAATTTCTTGAGGAATGTCTTCCTATTCCTTTTCTCCCTCTTTCCTGACTTCTGCATCTCCTTCTTTCTTAGCTGAACCTCCTCCTTTTTCTCCTTCTTTGAAATCCTTTGGGTACTCTGGTTCCTTGTAAGCTAAACCACTCCTGAGGGTAATTGCTTTTAAGTGATCAGAGGCCTCCAATTCATTTATTCTTTCAGAAAAAGGTTCATCAAGGTCATTAACGGAGGAATCCATCTCCTTTGATTCATCACTAATCTTGAAAAGAAAAAGTGTGGAGAGCTTGTTAATAGAATCCTCATGTCTTTTTGATTGACTATCCATCTCCTTTTTGATTATATTAACCTCTTTTTCAAGCTCTTCAACCTTGGAGAAAGGATAATAAGGAGGAATTGTGAGATTGGATTGCTCAGATTGGTTTTGCTCGAAAAAGGGTTGGAAAGTAGGTTGAAAACTAGGCTGGCCGCGGGTGAAGTGCTCTGACCCGTGGTGAAACTCATCTTGGCCGCGGCCAAAAGCTTCCCACCCACGGTGGGTACTAGTTTTGCCGTGGCTGAGAGGCTCCCACCCCTGGTGGAGTTAATTCTGCTCTGCCTCTTCAATCTGGTAAACATCAGCGGTTTGCATCATCTCCTGAGTTTGGAAGTTCCTCTCCACCTCAAAGTTGTTCATCTTCTCTATGTAGGGCTTGTTATGGTTGTTTCCCTCATCAAAGTTATGAATAGGACCAATCACACTAAGAATCTTCTGGATGTTTTCCCTAATCTGATCTAGGCATCTTAGTAACAGATGATTCTTTTTCCTCGATCTTAGAACATCTAGATTGGGTTAGAAGTCTCCTATTTCTGATACTCCCAGCTAGATTAGTATTATAGGTGTGAGCCTCATCTACAGTTCTAGTGGAAAAGTCTCCATTGCTAGAGGTATCAAAAGAAAACTTCAGTTCTTCATTAACTCCATGGTAGAAGATGGTCATCAGGTGCTCCTCGGAGAAACCAAGGTGTGGACAATCTCTCTGGTATTCTCTGAATCTTTCCCAGGCGTCATAGAGGTCTTCTGTGTCCTCCTACTGGAACTTTTGGATCTTGTCCCTTAAGAGATTGGAATGATCTCTAGTGTACAAGTGACTTAGGAAAGCCTCTCTACACTCTTTCCACGTCTTTAAGGACACAGGTGGCAAAGTTTTAAGCCATTTGCTAGCTCTACCAGTTAGAGATAATGGAAAAAGGACACACATATGGTAATCGTTATTTTTCATTATGGTTGAACACAGCTCTTCAAAATTTTCAATATGATCTATTGGGTGTTCATTAGAAAAACCGTTATACTTTTTGAGATAGCTGATGTATTGTACCTTAGCCTGAGAGTCGCCATCCTTAGGCAAAGGTGGTCGAATTGCTCGCCTTCTGCGAAAAGTTTGTGTGTATCACATTCTCCGATCAGCTGTTCTCCCTTCCTGTCATATTCTGATTCTCCAATCGATTCATTGCCATCATCGATTGGGTCATTAAGCTCATCATCAGATGGATCACCATCTAGAAAAGGATCCTCTTCAGCGAGAGAATCAAGGATATGCTCCCGACCCCTCATCAAAAAAGTACCTGAAAAATCAAAGAGAAATAAAAATTAAAAAGAGTTCTACCGAATTAAGCAGAGATTCGCAACGAAAGGAATCAAAATCCCCGGCAACGGCGCCAAAAACTTGATGCTAAGAGAATCAAGGGTTACTTCTAGCTTCATGTTTTAAATTTGTAACCCTAAATATCTGCAAGTGCACAGATGTGCGTTGAAGTACTTAGGGGTCGAACCACAGAGATTTTGAGCTTTCAGTACGAATCAATCAAAACTTAAGACTAGTAGAACAAACAAAATGGGGGTTTGGGTTTTAGTGTCACTAAATCTAAATGCAAATCAAAATAAAGAAGTTGTAAAACAATAAGAACAAATCGCTGGGTATAAAGGGTTTTCGCAGGGGTTCATGGACTGATCAAAAGACAAAAAAATCGATAAAGGTAATCAACTAGTGAGGATCCCGAACTTGAATAGACACATGTAAGATTAGCCAACTCTCGTCACCCTAATCATCTAATCACTCAACACAGCAATTAACTCTGTCTCTCATGCTGCGAATAAGATCATGCATTAAAAACAGAATTCATCCCTGCTCGGGATTATCAATAGGTAGCTTTCGTCTCCTATAACGATTTTGCTCGATCACTTCTAGGTCTGGTAATTCGATACAACACTCTCGCGGCTCCAATTAGTGAGATCAGTTTCTAAGCGGTTAGCAACAGAAACAGCATAGGGAACAAGAATGAAAGAAGGACTCCTAGATGATTATAAACCCTAAGTCGAACAAAGCATATGATCAAGACATGAAATTCTCTTTGAAAAATCCCTTAAAAACCCAACTGGGAAATTACTCAGACATAGCTGAGTTCAACATCACAAGAGTATTTAGAATTGCAGCAAACTGAAATAGACAAAGGTTAGAAACGAAGAACAGATTGAAGAAGGAGGGGCGATGGTGCCCCTCTCGGTGGCTCCTCTTCGCGGTGAGTCTCTCTCTCTAGGGTTCTTGGTGAAAACGCAGCACACCCTTCTAAATGGCTTAAAAGGGGTTTATATAGTGTTTTGAGTTCTCGGGAATGCCTAGGGCTTGCAGGAATAATGATGGGAGTGACTTGGGCTTTAAAATGTGCTTCTGAGGCTCGGAATTGAGCTCCCCGCGGTCTACAAATTTCACACCCCCGGCGGATGACATTTTCGCCGCCGTTGAGCTTCTGACGGTGATGATTTGCCTTCAGTGTATTGACCATATCTGGAGATCTAACCGCTGGATTGCTTTGATTCCACTTGTATTGGAAAAGCTGGTTGTCTCCTCTGTCCTGGGTCAAAATTTAGGGATGGTCAGACGGTGGGAAGGCCTCCGTTTTGTTACCAAAATTCTCACGGTCTTAATTTATCCAAAGTTATGCTTTTGGCTCTCAAGTGCATTCCTTTTGTCAAAATATTGTGAAAACTCTTTTTAGATTTTAAAACATGGAAATCACTTAAAAATCTTTAAAACTAAATGAAAACACCTACATAAGATGTTAAAAGTGATCCATATAAAAGTGGTCAAAATCAGGTGTTATCACTATTCACCGACCGTCAAAGCTTGAAGCACGTTTTCACTTAAGACGATCTGAATTTGAGGCTAGTAACATGCTCTTGCACAATTTGGTTATAGACTACGCGGTAGCTAGAGCACTTGTGATGCAAAGAACCAAGAGGAATTTGAACAGTCTTGATTCTTGACTTAATTTCTCACTAGATGTATTAGATCAGGAAAACAAATCATACATTCAAGACTTTTTTATCACTCTCTACTGATCCTGAATGTTAGTTCATCTTTAGGTAGTTCCTACCTTACCGTATCTCTTTCAGACCTCATGCACTCTTGTTTTTCTATTATCTTTATGTGTAGATATATGTAAAAACGTCAAAGAGAAAAATAACAACACAAATTTCAGTCACTAATGATGAAGACTGTAATTTATTGGTGGAGAATATTCCCAAGAGCATTTCTTAATCCTGGAAACTCGAAGATATGGTATATTGTCGCGACCTTAGAAATTTTCTCTTCCAAAAAGCATTTCCTTCTTTCAAAAAAAAAAAGAAATTAAAAAAAAATAAGAAAAATAAAAAAATAAGAAATATAAGAAAAATAAGAAAAAAAGAAAAAAAAAAGAGAAAGGAAATTGCCTAAGAAAACTCTTAAGGATATATCATGAGTTCCAATGATTATAACGATCATCATTGGAGAGAGTTTGAATTTTTTTTATTGAGTCACAAAGAAAAATCTAAATGAGTTAAAGAGAGGATATCAAGAAGGAATGTGCAACACTTACATAGCAAGAAGAAGTGACTGGAAGCTGTGGACATCAATCGGTTCATTATCTCTTGCAATTTTGCATAATATTTTGCATCCTCCTATGTTTAAAGATAACCCTAAACACTTTAACTCCACCACATAAATAGCCATTCCTATACCAAACAATGTCTACCATGGATGACATGTTTATTGAGAATCCACGCCTGTACTTAATGAATATGGAGAGCTAGTTGGCCAGTATTGAGTAAAGTTGCTTAGATTTTACATGACGGAACCATGGACTTGTGTGATACTTGCTTTGGTGAGAATTTTCTATGCTAGGTTGTTGTAGATGTAGTTCGATGGTTATGGTCTAGAGGTAAGGTCTCTGATGATTTTGAGTTCCCTATGATTTCTGTTAAAAGCTTTTTCCAAGCTTGGATGTTTTTTGTTTGAGCACAAACAAATGTTTAAGTCTTGGGGCATTAAGTATTTCTTATGCTTTTTCAAGAGTTTTAATGATGATTTTCTATATTTGTAGTTTCAAGACTCTTTTCAAGTTCAATTTGGAGACATTCAAGAGGATCCAACTGACTTTCCATTGCATGTTACTTGAGGACAATCCAACGGTTCGATCAAAAGATACATGAAGATCAAGATGTCCCATCAACCATCCCGACATTCAGCTGACCCGCAGCAAACACAAGTCTGGCCACGCCTCACACCCTGCACTCGCGGTGGAACTACATTTTACTGGTCCCAGAGAGCTCTTACCCGCAACAAGCCTAATCTCGGCCCTGAGGCCAAACTTAAAGCCC